AAAAAAAGCCTGACTTGAGCGCCGCCATTTTGAAAACAACTCAGCAACGTGACTTCACGTGATCGCATTCCCAATCAGCCGCTGCACCGGTTTTCACATTCAAGTAATTATTAGATTCAATAATGCTTTTTTTATGTAAGGCCTTGTTATTAAACTGATCCTGAGTGGATAGAAGGAGGCTGTGTAAGACTTTGTTCCGTCGCAGGTAAGCGCTCAGGCTGCTATGCAAGATTCAAAATGGCCGCGTCCTTTGTCTAAGATCAATTTCAATTGGGGACGGTTCTTGAAAGTTCAGGTTGCTCTGTAGATTTTCATACTCTTTAGAGGTGTAGATGATAAAATAAATTATGCTTTGTTATGGGAAACTTCAAGAAGGTACCAACCCATTTTGAATAAGGACAACATCGAGGTCCGGAACATTTACGTCGTTCGACTTTGACGCATTACATTGCAAGATGAAGAGGTCCAGGTTTGGTGCAGCGCTTGATGTTTCCACTTGAGCTCGGAAAAACAATGGTTGATTGAGCTTCACTTCGCTGGGAAGAGGACTGTTAAGCTCAGAGTCCTCAAAAACGTCAAGGCTGAATGTAAAAGCTGCAGCATCTGATTAAGTAAGAAACAAATGTTAGTTCTACCCAGATTAAGGCTTAAATCAGTTTAATCTTCACATTACATTCACACAAAACGTCTGCTTAAAATTTCTGTCCATAATCTAGTATATAACTGATAAAATCTCTACATGGAACTTCTGCAAATTTTATTTTTGGTCTGCAAATTGAGTAAAATGATGTGGAGTGTTTTCACCAACTCGTAAAGGCTACACAACGAAGGTGTTATAATTTTGTATCTAATGTACCGCAAAACACGCCTCAGTTTCTTTACAGGTGTATACTTTACGCAAGCTAACGCGACATACCTGATGAGTTGTCGCCACGATTCACTAAAGGTATGAAGCTGGATGTGACAGTGTCATTATTGACGTACTCACACACGGCGTTAATTATATGATCAAAGGCCTGGATCGGACTGCTGCCTGAAACAACTGCACGGATTTCGAAAACGTATCTGATAGAAGTGCTCTTATCTTCGGATTTTGAAGCGCAATCAGCCACCTGCAAATTGGCATACGTGACCGTCGTGTTCATGAATGTCGGCTGACATTCTGTTTTGTTATCTATTCGCCAATCACTTTCGCTGAATGCATCGATGTCAGTTACGTTTGCAATGGTTATAGTTACTGTGTGGTTAGCGTTGCAGACAATTGAACTTGTTGACATGCCTGAAGACAAAAAGTAAGAAGATCCGTAAATAGCTGAGGTAAACATGCAAAGACAAAGCGTCGGAACTGAAGTTTTACATTTCTTAGAAAAGATGAATAATCGGGTTTAATCGATCTTTTGGCATATGGACCCATTTTTGTACTCTGTCTGAAATGAATATAGTTCCAGCAAAAATCAATAAGAGGTTTTGATATTCTTTGTTTAGAAGTTTTAGTAAGTTTTGATGCATTATTATTTATCAGAAAACTTACCATCTTTCCCATTTTTATTTATTTATAATTTATTAATTAAATTTAATCAATATAAATACGGTGTGGGGTTAACAGGTTTCAAGTTGCCATTGGTGTGGAATCCTAAAAAAGATGAATGGACAATTTTGGTCCTCTTCTCCAAGAACTGAACACAATTTCCTTTGCCAAATTGTCGCGCGTGTACTCAATTGTATTTTGTTAACTAACTTTTTGTCTTTTCACGCCAGAAACTTATAGTAATTGTAGTTGAATACTGTAATAAAAGGGGGGGGAGGACGTTCTTATATCACTATGTTCCCCCTTTCTTTAAGTTTTGCTTTATTCATCTTATCCACACCATCGATGTCATCAAGCAACTGATGCTTTTAAAACTTTATTCAAACCGTAAAGTTGGGGAACCTCTATTTCGCCGTGTGCAGGTTTTGTAAACATGTCGAACAATTCTCAGTAAGTGTTTGCCAGTTTTAGGCTTGTCAAGAATCGCGGAATAGACCGAACAAGACCCCGGGTAATGGTCTAATTGACTCGGAGTCAGGTCTCACTTAATTATTCTTTGATAGTGAATGAAATATTTCATAGCTGATTATATTTGTGGAAAAAACTGAAGTCTATCTCACCTTTAACTCTGACGTCAACCAGTAAAGCGAACGTCACGAGAGAGAGTAAAATCCACTGCCAAGCCATTTTGACGTAGAGTTCAGCCTTTTCTTGGTGGTCTTACTCCAACTTATGAAGTTAAAGCTAAGGAATGTCAGTCAAACTGTCACAATTAGAACGAAATAAATTCCTAAATCAAAGTTATTTATCGTAATAATTTTTTCAGGAGCGAAAGAAAGGATGAAAAGGAAAATTCTGGATTTCTTCGTTCTTTGTGTGTGCTAAAACATGGCCAGCGTATTGTGAACTTATAAAATTTGGCCCCGACTGAGAGTCATTTTAGCTGAGCAATTTACGAACATCTAAACGTGTCAACATCTCTATTTCATCCTGCAAAATGCATCAAAATGCCCGAAATAGTGATAATAATCAAAGATATGACATGCTTTGTATTCTCTCGACATATCTGTGTAAAGTAAATACTGGATGCAGCGTTCTTTTAAAGTCTAAGTATTTGTTGTACAAGTGATATGAAATCTAATCTGTTTTACTTCAACTTGATCTAAACTTTGTACAGAACTAGAATATTTACGTTCGGTTCGGGTTGGTGTACTCTGCAATTATCAGTTTATAAATTGTTTTTCGATTGGATCATTTTCATTCAAGAACGAAAAACTCAGCCATTGGAACGTAATTAATTGTTATAAACACGAAAGGACATTTCACTTGTTTGTCATCAAGTTTAAAGAATTTATGACTGCAAATAGAACAAACGGAACGCTAGAAATCGCTACAATTCATTTGCAGTTGTCCTTATTGGTTTTTCTTTTCATCAATTGATGCTTTCTTGCCGATAGCTTAATTGAATGGAAATTAAACGTCCATGGTATTTCGCATGAAGAATGGAGATAATGAATAACATTTTCGTTTATCATAAAGATACAAGGCTGCTGACTGTAAGACGACTCATAATCCACACCTCGTTGTTCTGGCTATCGAAAACTTGGCAACGAAAGTAAAAGAAACGAGAGGAAAAAATTTGTTGAGAACGTATTGTTTGCACGCAAGGCGGTTCTATTTGACGAAGGCAAATTTTGTTTTCGATATGTTTAAATAATTATTTTATGGACGGTCTAGAACATGAATCAGGCACTCACCGTTGTCTGCGTGAGATTCTAGAGAATTGTAATTTCGTTGATTACAACAAGGTCGCCTACAAACTTCCGCTGGGTTTCTTTGCTTAGGCCTGTAACCACTACGCTTTGGTGCGTTCTGCCTCTTTGATCCCACGTTTTTAAAATATCTTGCCACCATCAAAGCGAATCAAGACTTCTTAGGTCTTCTCTCGAACCTTCGTCTCTAGGCAACAGTTATATGCGAGTACGCAACTTCACAAACAACTACGCTTCACGGACACCGAATTTCGATCAAAACCCCTCTGATGAAGCACATGAAGCACAGTAGGAATTTATCTCATATAGTTAAGTAGTTAC